GAAGGTTTTTTTGGGGGGGGGGTGAACCATACTTTTAAGATTGGGATGCCATTAAATTTCATGTGCATGTACAGTAAACTTTTGCCAATATAGTAGGGGTGTCAAAATTAATCGTTTCTTCAGTGCACCGCGATGCAGACGCGGACAATTCGGTATCGGTTCAGTAATAATCATAACCGGTTATTACTGACGTCATTAACCTCATATGCGCTCTGTCGCGAGGGAGGCAATCGTGAGTATTTACAGCGCTTTAACTACTTAAAACTCATAAACTGTGCACAATTTCACTGTGTGTGTTTGCTGGATCAGTCTTTCACTGACAAATACAACAATAGCCCCTATTTCACTGAGATCGAGAGACTGAAAGTAGCCTACTCCATTTCTCTCTCTCTCTCTCTCGCTTTCGCTCTGTCTCTGTCTCTCTCTCTTTCTCACACACACACACACACACACACACACACACACACACACACACACACACACACACAAACACACACAGTGGCCCATTTGACCTGCAGGGTTGGCTTTTCTTCTCCTCTCGGCTGTTTTACAGCGTTACTTTTGGATACAGAAACGAGCACGTGTCTGCAGAGTTTTCTCCATCGTGTCTATCATGCATAAGCTGTGAGATCGCCCCTGCCGCTTATCAGTGTCACTTATCTGAAGAGCGCAGCGCGCAAGAGTCAATCGCAACCGCTTTTGTTGAGGGTGTGACCAATCAAAGAGGTGTAAGAGAACTAGACAAGGATCAGAAATTGAGCTGGATATTTATATTTGTTTATATTATTTGCTAAATGCTCGTTTTATTTAAAGTTGCAGTTTATATATCTGACTGTTTGTATTAAACGACAAAATTGTATTACGAATAATATATAAATATAAATATATTCATACATTTTAATACAAGTGTATGTAAAACTGTGTATGGAAAGCATCGTCAATGCACCGTGATGCACTGAGATATTAAATTGAACCGAATCGATGGCATGATAATTGTACCCGAACCGTGAGACTAGTGTAGGTTCACAGCTTTACAATATAGTGTATATGGCAGTGTAATCCAGTTCATGTTTTGCCCAAACGAAGCCTAGCATTTGTGTTTCATGGTTACTCATCCAAACAATTGCTTCAAAACAGCTTGACGCTTTATGATATACGGTACTGTTTTAATGTTGCTGCTTCATCTTCATGTAAACTGATTTTGTCTATTGTTTTTTGTTTTTTCTCTAGTCTGTGAGATGGAAGTAGCAGACCTCGTGTTCCTTATTGACGGATCAGAGTCCATTAAGCCGCCAAGTTGGGATATTCTCAAACAAACCATGATTGGCATTGTGAAAGAGCTGGACATTGCTAAGGACAAATGGCGAGTGGGTGTCGCCCAGTTCAGCGACATACTCCTGCATCAGTTTTATCTGAACACATACACTAGTTTCGCAGAAGTGGAGGAAGCCATAAACAACATTAAACAACGAAAGCAGGGCACAAATACGTGGGATGCCCTGAAATTGATCAAATACTACTTTACGAAAGAGAATGGGTCCAGGATAGAAGGAGGAGTGGCTCAGAATCTCCTGCTGATCACAGATGGAGAAGCTAATGATGAGAAAGATTTGAATGCATTAGCTGATCTCAAAAACAAGAAAATAGCAATAACTGTTATTGGGATTGGCAATGAGATTAAAAAGTCTGAGCTGCGTGAAATTGCTGGATCACCTGACCGGGTTCTCATCGAGACTTTTGAAAGCCTTGAATTGAAAACAACCATTAGGAAAGTGCTGCATTTTCTATGTGAATCAAACAGAAGTATTTCTGATGGTAAGTAGTATTATTTACATTTTTATTAAATAATTAGTGCCAATTACTTCACTTACTGTAGAAGATCTTTTGATAAACTTCAGGACTTCTATCAAACTAGACGAATAAAAGACTGCTTTGAGGAAGCTAAAAAGGTTTCGGAACATTTTAGTAGGTAATATTGGCATGGAGAAATAATTGCATGCACAATTAACTTATAAATATGACAAGTCTTACCGGAAACCCAAGACCAATAAAACTGATTTTACAATAGGGCAGTGGTTCTCAAACTGTGGTACTTGTACCACTAGTGGTACGCAGGCTTCCTTCTAGTGGTACGCGGAGGAATGAAATATGTCATGTACATGCTACACACATTTAAAAATTTATCAAAAATTATGTATATAATATGCTTTATATGACATGTAGCCTATATTTCTGAGGTAATCTGCCACTTTTTTTAACTGTGCAGAGTTGTAGCTGCTTTACTGGGCCTACTACGCTACTGTATTTCAATACTGCTCATTTTGGTGGTACTTGGAGAGACAATTCTTTTCTGAGGTGGTACTTGATGAAAAAAGTTCGAGAACCACTGCAATAGGGTATATGCAGAAGTCTACGGAAGGACTTTTAATTTTTCAGTAGTCTGGGTCAAGCCTTTCCAGAGAACTGTATGCCACAACAAAATTGGTGCGTTTAGGGTATCTTTTCTTCAAAAATCAATTCACTGCCTGATTGATTGACACCTGTCAACATTGGGATGTGAAATTAAGGGATATGCCCACCATGATAAGGGGATTCGACCAACACCCAACAGCCCCCCCGCCCCGCCTTTAAAAAATCCCCAAATTACTAAATATGTTCATTTGGAGCTGTTTCATAGTAAATAAACAGTTAAATTAATTAATAAAAGAAAAATAAATATATATACATTAGCAGCAAATACGTTAGCAAACACTTCAGCTTATTGAAATTTATAGCTATTATAATGAAATAGAATCACAATATCAATCTATTTAGCCATATCTCCACTGTATAACTTACACATTCTGATTAAAGAGCAACGAATGAATCTCTCATTTTATTAAGATTTTATGGGCGTTTTACGTTATAACTAACGTGGTTCAAATGATGTATCTGTGACAGAGAAACTACGTGTTTTGGGAAAGACTCGTCACTACATAGTTCTTTTCCCAAACGATGCATCGTACTATGATAGTTCAGTCATGAGTTACGTCGTTGTTTGGGAAATGCACTCTAGGTTAGGGTAATTAGGCAGGGTATAGGTGTAAGAATCAGCTCTTTGGTTTAAATCATGTTTAAACTTTGGGGATTCGAATCAAAGATTCGAACATGATTCACATAGAATTATTTAAAGCTTACACTTAACTTAAGTATTTGTCCAGCAAATAGAACGTTTAGTGTAAAGCAATCCTGTATTATATTATTACGTGGCCAACAATAACAATATAAAAACAGTATCTAATTATTTAATAAGCAAGGTAGCAGTATCTGAAGCTGAGGCATTAACTTATAAAGCACACAACACACCAACACGGATCTTAAAACGAAACAAAAGTTTATTGCTACTCTATAACACAAAGTACTAATCTACGTAAAACAAACAAATGCACATACATACACACACGCACAAGCAGTTTGAGGAGAGTTTTGACTGAGTGGATTTAACTTCTAGCCTTTGCTAAGTTCTTAGCATTGCAACCTGAGAGAAACCATAAAAGCAGAGAATTTCGCTATTCTTTACTACTTAAACATAATTCACACCAGAGTCAGCAATGGATAGAAACCTTGTTTGTGCTACTTGCGTTCTGATGTAATTTGGTTTCCTTGACTGGTCCAAAGGGAAATCCCGGCGAAGCTGATTGGTCAGCGTAGCAACTTCAGTGACGTGATGGAATTCCCTTGTCGGTGAAGAGGGGTTTCCTTAGTCGGTTGCTAGGGATACGGATGTTGGACAAGGCGGCGTTCGAAGTCCTTCCTGGGTTCCTGTAGTTAGGATGAGTTTCAGAGTTTGGATGTGTTGACCCGATGGCTTGTTGTTGAAGCGGTTGCACAAGCAGATCGGGGGTCGAGCCGGCAGCAAGTGAAGGTCGCGGTCTGCTCCGTGATGTAACGAGGCTTCCGGCGAGGCGATGTAACGGCCACAGCACGAGAAGAGCGACGTCCGGGCAGCGACGGCGGTGACGACTGGCAAAGATGACCGGCAAAAGACGACGATGAAATTCCTTTGTTCAAAGTTTTATAGGCTTTGGTAGAGGCTGGGTCTACACAATACTTGTCCAATCAGAGAAGGTGCGGGGTGGAGTCACACCCCAATTCTGCCCTCTAGGAGGCCGGGTTGACACCTGGTGTGGGTGCTGCTTTGATAGCATAGTGGTTAAAATAAAGTCTTATAACGTCAACACTTTTCATAGTATGGTTTCTTCCTATAAACTAATGCATTTGAAATGTTCCTAGCTTTCAATCGATACCAAACATGAAGTATTTCACAAACATTCTGTAGATTTCATTTGTCACTGAGGGCTATTACTCAAGAACTATCTATAACAGTTTTGTTAAACACATGGAACATGTACACACAAAAACCTACAGAAACATAAAGCAAACATACATTACTCAAATAAACACAGCTTTACTGTATGTCCATTAAACTTTGGAAGCATTTCTGATCGCTTCTGTGTCTGCCTGAGAATGTGTATTCCTTGCAGACGCCAAAGGGCACGCGAACCAAAAGGTACTTCTCAAAAACCGGTTTGGTGGGTTTTTGATTGTAGAGCCTCTTATTGTTTTAAGGTGTAGAGTTAATTAACACGCAACTGTGATGTTGACTGGATAGTCGTCCTGTGGATTTGCCTTTTGCTGGGTGCCTGTGGATTGCTTTGAAAATGAAATCAAACTCAGACTCGTAGGCACCAACCAATCTTTTAAGGATAACATGGTCTGTGGCTTGTTCGGTTCTGGAACGATCCGTTGACTCCCCACATCCCCCATTTGGATGGTGATGTTCCTGGCATGAACATCGGCAGACACTGGAACAAGAGGCATAGGTAGAGAGAGAACAGACACACAAGACACAAACCACATTTCATTCCATAGACTGAGTTCTGGTGCAGGTTTTAGCTTAAATTGTTCGGGTTAAGAACACAAGGTGTAGTGTTACATTGCCTGAAATAATTCAAATTTAGTTATTTAGCTAGTTTACTTCATTGCGAGTATGTAGTGGCGCTAGCTTCAACTTAAATGAGCAATAATTCTGCAGCAATTGACACTAATTTGGGAGAAGGAGTCAATCCTATTTTTTTTAGGCCCTGTGCATGAATTTGCAGGAGTTCCCTGTAGAGGGGACTGGAACTGCAAATCAGTTAGGGAGAGAGAGAGAAAGAAGGAAATCAAGAGGCATAGTGATGCAACAAAACAAGGTAGGTAAAAACCAGCAAAACAGTGTTGCAAATGTGAAGTGGATCCTCTCTACTAGAGGTTGTTCTAGCAGTGCTGTAGAGGAGAAAGTATTAGTGTTGTGTTTAACTAGGTGTTTCCCTAGGATGTCAAAGGTTATGTTAGTGTGAAGAGGGTAGAACAGTTGATCTGTGTCAAGTTGTGGTCCTCCCCCATTTGTTGTTCAATGATGATGGAGCTGTCAAATGTTCATCCAGTAATGGAGGTACCGGAGTTTGGCATGGGTCAGGAAGGGTTTCAGGACTGAACTGAGGTTTGTCGGAGGAGTGGCAGACGACCAGAACGGCACTTTTAGAAACCTGAGGGTTTTCACCTACAAGTGTTTGTTTATTCAGGTGGTTGTTGCTTCTCCGCTCGGCAACTAGTCAGGCTGAATCTGCTTTTTCCTTTTCCCGTTTCCTGTCCTCCTCTATGCATTTGAGAAACTCTTTCATCATCAATTTCACCAGTTCTTGAGGGTTAAATCCCGGTGGGGCATTTTCCTCTTGCTGGGATTGAGTCTGAGCGTTGTCAGGGTGGAAGTTTTTGGAGTACCTTCGTTGACTCCTTGGACTTGATGATCCAGGGTTTTGATGTCTTCCCTTAGATGGTGACCAGCTTTTGTTTGACCCCCATTGGTTTCTTTCCTGGTGGTGTTCAGGTGAGCGTCGTTGTCCACGCGGTCCATCCCAGTGACTGTTCCTCTGTTTGAATCTCGTGTCAGCATAGGAGTTCCGTTGTCTATTGGACGGAGACGCATTCCACGCTGGGGATAGTGGTCTCACGCTGTTTGGGCGTTGGGCACCCTCTAGTGCCAGTTCTGGATTCTGGGTGTTAAAGGCAAGAACTGTTGCAGTTTTAGTGTTTTTCTCTAACACCATCTTTTGTTTGTCGTGTGCTTTCTGTGTCAAATCTCGCAATTGCTGGATGCTCATTGTTCGTGGGCATGCGAGTACTCCGAGATGTTGGCTTACTGCAGGATGGAGGTTTCTCAGGAAGAGAATCTTAAAGTTCAGGTCTTCCTCCATATTCGGTTTGTTGCGAGTTCCGAAAAAGGCTTGCCTGAGTCGGTTGTAGTAAGCATGTGGGGACTCATTGCGAGCTTGTTTTGTCTCCAGAGCACTTAACAGTCCTTGATCTGATTCAGGGTTTGCAAACTCTCTGATGAGGGCTTCTTGGAGCAAGCGGTAATCGTTCTTTACCTGAGCTGGTTGTCGGTCCAGGAAGCTGCGCACCTCAGTGCTGGATGTGGCTCGAAGCAAATACAGTCTTTCTTTATCAGAGACATTGGGTCTCATTTCCAGGTGGAAATCAATGTCTTGCAAATAAGCGTGGACCTCCAACCCACCTGACACACTTGGAGTAAACTTGCCAATGTTTCTGGCCAGCTTGTCAAGGTCTTTGAGGTCCAGACTGTATGACGATCTGTGACTGGCTATCACAGGCTCTCGTCGCTGTGGGATAAGGTAAGACTCTTCAGAAGGTGCTGGTGAAGATCTTCGGCATGGTTTCTCACCTCTTTCAATAGGTGAGAGCTCAGGGACAGGGGATCCTGTCCTGCTTGG